AATTACTTTTTCCTTATAATTGACTTGATTATCAATCTGGTTGCAGTTTTCTGATTGAATGGAGTGAATGCACTTCAATCTTAGCTTCATTCCATAATCCATTCTATTCACTACAAGTATCCATCCTAACTGATCAAATCTGTCCTGATCAAGTACGAAACTGGAATTGGTTAGGGTTGTTTAGTGATTATTTATGGGCTTCTACATAGCTGTACGCACACGTACACAAAGCCTGTAACAGTACAAACCATAGTTCACTATAATTTGCATCATACTGTATCAGTATTATTGGCTGCCTTAATCTTGTTGATATTCTTAATACAAGTTTGTCTTCTCATTTAGAAACTTGACCCATTGCGGCAATACTGCTGTAAATTAGCCGAGTGATGGCTTCTTATACATAGCAGTTTTTCATTCAATTGTGACAAGTTTTTTTAGCATTTTTAAAGCAAGAGAAAATCTTCTCAAATATGCCCCATGCATGCATTTAAACCAATTTAAAGTATATAACAATTTAAGACAGAATAGAACTAATAGCAAAGAATTTAAAATATCTAGGTATAGCAGGTAAGCCTATTAGTTTTAGATGGTTAAATTCTCCTATAGATGTGCATCTTTCAAAGTTGCCCACTGTGGATCTTCACTCGTTCTCTTTTCAGCTTCTATAGACAGGCAAATCTAGAGCAATATCTCCATGAAAGATCTTAATACCAGACAATACAATCAATAATCAAGTTATTCTTGAACATATCTGATTTGTTTTTATTAGATTTGAATTTGTGATATTTTGCAAAAGAATGTTTCTATCCTTTGTACACAAAACCCAGCTAATAATTTTGGAAAATCATATGTCCCTTTAATTAAACTTTGATCTTTTAGTCAGCAAACCATGAATTTCATCTTTTGCAATGTAATACCACTAGAAGGTAGAAATGCTGTCTTTCTCTCCTTCCCAAGGGCAGCTGACCTTCTCCTCGCCAAAGAGGTGAACCTCTTGCCAGCACATATGACTACAGACTATTACATTAATCTGTTTAGCCGCAGTACCAGCTGCTTGCATGTTTTTAATTATCTTATTAGATAATATAACAGTGACCTATGAAATAAAAGTGAAGGTGAGGATTTTTAACTTTTAGCATTTCAGAGGTATTTTCTTCAATATATACTAATATATACCAATAATATATCTATTTTTATTTTTTTAAAGTAGTCATTTGAATTAGGCCTTTATTTTATTCAATGGACAGTAACTTTAAGGGAAAATATTTTTAAAGATTATAAATTATATTTTATATGTAGTACTTAAAATATTTACATTAACCTCAATTGAATTTAGCTTGAGTGATATTCTAGTAAATATTTATTTGTCATATTTATATTACTTTTTTCTTATTTTCTGACACATTATACAATAATTTTCTGAATAAATTAGTAGCCTACAGAGAGAGCTATGCAAAAGGTTTGAGTCTAAGTTGCAGGCTTTGCTCCATGTAATATGGACTCATCATGTTTCTAGTACCACTGAAGTATACCATTCATATGTAAGAAGAACTGGCTTTGCAATGCCAGTCTTGCTGAACCCTTGTGTAGTAGCCAGGTTTAAAAAGCATTAGGAAGAAAGGACAGATGAAGGCAGATGCTGGTGCCTAAATGATGCAGCAAGATTTCTTCAAAGGTTGAATAGAGTAAGAAGACATTGTATTGGCATTCTTTCAACCTAAGTCATATTTTGAGGCAATAGAGTCATCCACCTCTTTGGATCTCTTCTTCCTTTCTCTTTCATAGATCATTCAAGCAAGTATTTGGTTAGTGTCAAGGAATGTAGCTATGAGTAGGAGCTTCCATTTAAATTTGTTTGAACTATTTGTGATTTATATCTTTTAAGCATTAAACCAAGCTAAAGTCAGTTGTCATATAATTTTTTTAAATAGAAGTATCTATGTGGGGTTTTTTTGTTGTTTGTTTCTTAAAAATAGACATATCTCAAAGTGAAAAAAGCACACTGTTAACAAAAGGCTTTCTAGTTTTAGAGCTTATTGGAGAGGGAAAATCTTTATCTTGGTTATTAATTGTGCTATAAATTCCAAATTCTATTGGTCTTATCATTCTTTATCATTTTAAATGTAAATAAACGCAGTCACATGTAACAATTTGTACAGAACCAACATCTTTATATGCACAGATGTAATATGCTCATCCAAAAATTATTTATGTATGAAGTTTACATATCACTGGATTTAATAGAAAAAATATTGTCTGTTTTCAGTCATTTTATTTTTTTAAGTGAAGACAATGTATTGAAATTCATTTTCCCCTACTGTTTGAGGCACCGCTTCCAGAGAATTACTTATTGAACAAATGCAGTGTTTTTTAACACTGTCCCTATTGCTTAACAAATAGATCCTCTTTGATTATTCTATCCCTTCTTACTGCTCCATGTTATTGCTGGAGCAAATTGATTGTCTTGTCTGGTCTGTTTTTTAAAAGTAACAGAAGAAGTCTTGCTGAATGATTCCATGTCCATAAACTTTTACATGAATACAGTATGTAGCCCTGCCTTCAGGCAAGGCCAGGTTGTTCCCAGGTGGGTTGGAGGTACATACTGGTATATTTAAAATAATGTGAGGGCCTTTTGTTATCCCAGACATGGGATTTTGACTCCTTCTCAATTCCCTCGCAAGCTCTACTTGAAACCAAATGCTGGATTAAGTAAGCTTCTGGATGATCCAGAAAAGCTCTTCTTTGGTTAATTCAGGCTACATACCATTTCATGGTACTTTAGCTCAGCTTTTGATCTTGTAAAACAAAACAATGTTGTCCATTTCTGCTAATAATGACAAGTGACACAAAGTTAGGCAGACAGATCTTGCAGGTAACTAGAGTATACATTCTAATTCCATCAAGAAAAAGTCAGTAAGAAGGAATGGCAGGCAAGCTGGTTACATGGTTTTCAGGCTGAGTTATCAAAGAGTCATAAGTCTTCTTGTGAATCTAGGTTTGTTACTATTTAGGAAGAAATTTTTCCTGCTTCTGCCAGTTGGCTTTATGTGTACAGCCCTCTCTTTTTCTATACAGCAAATTTCTTTGAAAAATTCTGTTCAATAAATTACACTCAATGCAATCACACTTTGGGCATTACAATCTTTTGTTTAAAATAGGTAAGATTGTAAGAGTATATATGAAAGGGAAGCTCTCTAAGGCAAGTGCGTAACATTGTGCAAATTACAAGGGAAGCGTTGCTATAATATTTACCCAGAATAAAATTGTTGCCCTTTGAGAATGTTGTGGATACAGATCCCATCCGAAAAAGTATTACATGATTGCTCAAGGAGTTCCTTTTATTTAGTCCCTCTTATCTGTATTTATTATATTAGTGCAATTATTTCTTTTTTCATTAAATGGGCCAGTTTTGTCTACACTTCCAAATCTCTCCAGGTGCATTAGTGAATTATTCTCTTTTATGAAACACCTGTTCAGTATATTGGAGTAAAATTAGATAATAATGTTAACCCAGGGAAGAAATCAAACATTGGAGTAACCTTTGGGAAGAGTTCCTGCTCATAATTCTAATATAAAGAATACACGTGTGAGAAATAGCAGTGTAGAAATACAGAGTATACTCTCCATGTGAGCAATATGCTTGGATTTTTGTTTCTTGCCCATGGGCCTGAACATGGAAGAAACAAAGGCCACAAAGAGGACAGTAGGGCCTAGCTAGTGTTGCTGTACATGTCCTAATACACAAGCATGTTGTCTTCTCTCTGCTGTAGTGTATGATATATAATGAACAATTGTGAAACAGGGCAGATTCACAGTCTTAACGCAAGCTGTGACAGCATAAGGTTGGTCCCTTTCTACGAGTCACTCTGCAGGGAGGAAGCCACATGTGTTTGACCTGAGAACTTCCAGGAATAATATTGGCACAAAATCCCACGCAACAAAAATAATAAAAATCTTTAAGTTACAGAGTTCATTCTCCTATGGCTATATTTTTAAAGAAGTGTTTATTTCAATAAATTCTACATCTTTAATATCTTAAATACGTTATGCTCATGTCTTGGTCAAGGATGTTTTAAGTTTCAGCAAATATTGACCTACCGGTGAATACCATCAATTGTTCATTACTAAAGTAAGTATAATTAAAATATTTATTAAATGTTCTGAAATACTGTGGGCATAAAAAAACCAGGGACATTCTGTTTCACCAGCATTTTTTAATTCAAAACTCTGATCTAGAGGGCCAGTGTGATTGAAACTGACATTTAAATCGTACCATGTTTCTGGGGTGTTGAATTGTTCTTGTTTAAATTGTAATCATTCTGGCATTTGATCATTTGAGAATTAAACTAATCCATAAGGTTTTTAGTGACCTAAAAAACAAGAACAGCTGCTGCAGAACCTTGGGAACACTGCTGGCCAAGTTAAGTAGTTTAAGGGTCTGCAAATGCTGTTGGTTTTTAAACACTACATTCTTGCTGCAAATTTTTATCTTTTATCTTCAAGAATTCTGTAGCATTCAGTAGTGCCATTGTGTTTACACTTTTTTTGTAGATATATATTTAATTCAAGAGAATTCCTTTTTATATTTGCTTCATATGATAGTGCTCAAGAAATGTTGGAATTGTATAGGCTTTGTGAAACAACTCTCCTATATTGATTTTTGTGGTGGTGTTCAGTTATTGGCTGTGATCAAATTCCATTTAAAAAGGTTTTATGCAGAAAAACCTTGTACCTGAAAGAACTAACATGAAATCATGCCTTCTGAAGTTAGCAGCATCATTGGGTTGAAAGTTTTGATTCTTGCAGCATGCTTGGTGACTTTTGTTATAACTATAGAGACATACAAAGCTTCTGCAGTGGGAGAGATTCGGTTTGGCAACCTCTGCATTGTTAGTTTACAATTACACTTGTGAACTTTTTGTATTACCTGGAAAGCTTAAATAGAAATGCTTCTTCCCAAATTTACAAATTCAGTGCATGTATTTTCACATGGTGGCATAATGGTCTTTGACAAAGGTAGGTCAGTTCCTATTGACTTTTGGAGGCTGTGGGATTCTGGTTGAAATGAAACAAACACAGCTTGAAGCCTGGAGGACAATAAACTATTGTTTATCCAAAATTCATCTATCAACCCCAGAGGTAGCTCTGGACAGGATTGCACTTCCCCAAAGGACCAGGTCCATCTCTCACAGCTACTCCTGGATTGGCAGCAGGGTACCCTAACCCAGCTTTAATTGGTGTGCCAGTTGAGGCTTTGTTTGGAGCAAAAGGCCTTCATGATAGTAACTCATTATCTCTGAGGTTGAGTACTGCAGTGTGTTTTATATGCAGCTGCCGTTGAAGACTACTTGGAAAATACAGTTATTGCAAAATGTGTGGATTGCTTCTTAGAGGTGAGAGCTGTTATAACTATGTAATATTGCTTATATGAGTCCGCATTGTCTTCCAATAGGTTTACAGTAGTTGCTGGTTTTAACCTATAAAGCCTTTCATGGCTTGATTCCCAGGTATCTCCAGGAATGTCCCTTCAAAGAGACCTGTCTTGTCCTGTACTCTCATTTGGTGAAGGGATCTTATGTGCCCTCTATTTGAGATAATGTTTCACTGCTTTGCAGCACTTTCACTTTGGAATACCCTCTCCCCAGGTGCGCAGTTAGTACATACCCCAATACTCTTCAGGAAAACCAATAAAACTGGCTTCGGAGCCAGTAGGTATTTTAATTGATGTACTGTTGAGCTGGTTCTTATTGTTTGTTGTGCTTTTATACTTGCATATAAATATAAATAAATAAGTTACATATTCCCATCCTATGCCTGTAATCATATGTTAAGTGCCAGGGTTTATTTTAAAAGCCTGAGATATTCTGTCTCCCCAAAGGTTCCATTCTTATAGCAGTGTGATGGGCACTTAAGAATCCATTTCTATCTCTGTGTTAAATTTTTCCACAGAAAAATGCAAAGCTTTAAATAAATGGAAAACCAGAAAGTATTTGCTACTTTTTCACAATCATTTGAATTGAAAGAATTGGAAATACTCAGTTTAAAAAAATGAAGATTTTTTTTTAATATGGGTTGAACTTTGTTTTGGAATACCTAGTTTATTCTTACTTAATATTGTATATAAATTATATATAATAATTATGAAGTGATCACGTAATACAATTTTCAGGGATAATTTTAAAGATTTAAATTTCCTGGAGTATTTTAGAGCTTGATCATGATTTTTACCAATATCTGTAGCAGGCTTTTCCTCTGATCTTCTGAAATAATTGTGAGGCTAGTCATTATTTGAATATTATATTAAAAAAGATTATCTATCAAGAATTTAAAAAGATGACACCTTGAACAATTTCTAAAATATTTTTCTTTGTACAGAAAGCAGACTGTGTACAGTTCTTAATTGCCTTTTCGAGACTGAGTTCCCTCATTACCTGTGACTTAAGCTAAAAATGAAGTAATTATAGATAACTGTGTTTATCTGGTTGATCTTGGCACCTGCAATCCTAATGCTAAAGCATTTCCTGTTTCTGGGGCCGGGTTTAATGTGCCTTACATATTTCTACTAAATTTCCTGTGAAAGTTTCAAAGGCTATGTTTTGCAAAAAGTCATTTGTCTAAAGGGTGAAGTTGGTAAAACCAGTATTGAAGTGATCACTGGGGAAGAATTGGCTGACTTTTTCACTTCCTAGGCTCCTGGCAGGGAAAAGTCCATGTTGCTCTGAGAAGCAGCATTACAAAAAGCAAAAAGAGGCATCATAGAGTGGAGTGATAATGATCCTTTGAGGTTATTGAGCTTGATAGGCTGTTTCATACACAAAAAGAGGGTTAGTGACTTGTGTGCAGTGACTGTTTCACTAGAGAGTGATAGACTGGAATTTTATCAGAGCTTCTTAGGAAGCCTGGGAACACCACCATTTAATCATATCTCCCTTTGAAATATTTTGTGTTGAACAACCCTGTAGATAAGCTGTGGTTGGAGCAGAACTGGAGAACAGAATTGAATAGGTGGATGAAAAATCAATATTTATACCATAGGGGAGGCAATCATGAGCGTTTATCCAGGGCTGTTATATTACTTTCTTTTGTTTGTGTTCTGAATCTGCATAGGAGTTAACAAGAACAATTATGCTTGAAAATAGACAACATATTTTTTCAGTTGTCCCAATATTCTGTGAGTTATAAGGATCAGTAGAGATATGTCCCCGCATCACTTCGAATATTTCATCAGAACATTTCAAACTGAGATATTAAAATCTATTACCAGAAAAGTCCACCCTCTACCAAATGTATTACTGCAACAGAGAAATCTTTGCAACTTTTAATAAACCAAAGTTTGACACCACGTTTTAAACAAGCAAAAGAGTCTGGCTTTGTTTTGTTTTCTTCACTTACCTCCAGCCAGAAGATCAGTGTGAACATAGTCAACAAATGCACTTCCATTATTTCCAATGTGGGGTTTAAATATTTAAAACCCCACATTTAAAAAAAAATCCACTTGTCAAGTTAGGGAAGAATATGGATTACCACTTGCCCACTGAAGAATATGAAAGAACATATTGAGCCTTTTTTACTGCATAAGTAACATTTACATTCCAATAGCAAAAATAAAACATCTCAAGATCGCTACTATTATTTTGCCAGATTCTCCAAATAATATTACTCTCAAAGCTTATCAGTAAGACACATAAGCCAATACTGAAAAGTATTAACAAGTATTAAATTTCTATGCAGAAAACAATGCATAGATTGTACAACACCAACTCAATAAATCTACATAGTTTTTTTTTTTTTGAGACCACTCAGAAACTGCAGTTGGTACAGAGTACAATGGTCCACTTATTAGCTGATGTTGATCACCAGGAATATATTATGCCTATGTTACAGTGTTTTATAGCTAGACCTAGAGTATATCACCATATCTAGGTCTTACTGGTCAGGCAGAAACGTGAGAAAAGTGGCCCATAGGTAACCAGATCTTGAGGCATGAAGTGCTTCATTGGCGACAACACCTTAAATTGCACCTGGAAGCTCATTGGTAACCAGTGCAGCTTGCAAAGCAGTGGTGTTACATGGGCAAAGCAGGAAATGCCCATAACTACTGGCACAGTTGCATTTTAGACGAGTTGGAGTTTTTGGGTGGTCTTCAAGAGTAGAACTCATTTCAATAGACTAAACAGGACATGACTAGAACATTAGTGATTATGAGAAGTGTCTCCCAATTCAGGAAGGGGCACTGTTGGTGCACAAGATGAATTTGTGCAAAGGCCCTCCTGGTCATGGCTGCCACCTGCATATTGAGCAGGGTCAGAGTCCAGGAAGACCTCCAAATTACATACCAGTTCTACCTGTGGTAGTGCCACCCAAGTGAGAGCTAAAGATGGTACGTCACAATGACCAGTAGGTCCTTAAAACCAAAGCTACTTAGTCTTGATAGGCTTGAGCCTAAGCCAGTTTCTTCCCATCCAGAACCTTCTAGCTTCTAGACACCAGGACAGGACCTTCATATCATTGCTTGTTCAGCCAGGGGTTGAGAGTAAAAGCTGGGTATAATACCTAACTCCATACTGGTGAAATGACACTACCAGTGGCCTCATGACGATCTTGAATAAAAGTGAAGAAAGTGTCAAGTCATATGGGACCCTACAAAGCAGGGGACTTGGGTTGGATCTCTCTCATCTACCAACACCATCTAGAATTGTCCTGGGAGAAAGGAGGAGAATCACTGCACTCCCCCCACCCGCCTCCCAACCCCTAAGACAGTCCAGAAGGATGACATGATCAGTAATACTGAACACCAGTGAGAGATGAAGCAGGATATACACCATCTCAGTTCTGCCAGCGGTCATCTACAAATGTGGTCAATGCTGTCTCAGTGCCTAGACCTGAAGTCTGACTGAAAAAAGTTCATATAAACCCCTTCCTCCTCCTCCACATCCTTTCCTTCAAAAAGACTTGTTGAGGAGGTCCACACCACTGCCTTCTTCAAAGTAAATGACACAAGTGTCACACTTTTCACCCTCCTTTTCACTTTAAAATCTCAGTAGCATTAATAATACATGCATGAAACAGAGTAACATTTAATGCCTTCTTTGCATTTATTGCTTTTATTTTTGTTTACCTGTTTCCTTTTGTACCTTATGTGGTTGCTAAGGAAAACAGAACACAAAACGTATCAACCCACTCACATTAATTCTTTTGCCATAACAAATAATTTAGAAAATAACAGTTTTCTCTCTAAGCAGAAACAGTAACAGAGCACAGTGCATACTTCAACCTTGATCCATGTGCTTAGTAACTGCTGCTTTGACTCAGTGCTCCATCCCTCCACATATACTTTACTTCAATTCAGTACTAGCCAGTAGCAGCAGTTCCTGCTACTCAAAACACAATCAAAATGGTGAGTTTTCAAAGAGAATGTTTTGTTTTACTCTCAATAAAATTCTGTGTGGGTATCTTCCCAACATCTTGAACATTGACATTTGAAGGAAATGCATTATTTTAGCTATTTTCAAAAGCAGCAGGATATCCATGAAATATATAGGGTACTTAATAGACCACAGCAAATTAAACTCAGAGGATGCTTAACTAAGAAGAAAAGTTATTTAAACAATTGTGTAACATTGTAACAAATATTAAACAAGACACTTCAACATAAAATCAATATAAAATGAATATCACTCTCTAAATTATGTATAGATGGTAAGATGCAATGCTTTACTTTTTCCAGGAAATTAAACATTCATTTGTTCAACATGAATTTAAAGAGCCTAACTTGATAGTTTTAGTTTAAAAGTATGGCTGTTAAAGATTCCAAACTAAAGACCCATTCACATCTTTCAGGAATATAAAACTTTAAGACACAATTTTTATATAGAACTATCTTTGGGGTACTAGAATGAGATGTCCCAATATTTGGGTTAATTCCAAATGATTTCCCCCATCTTGTAGATAAAAGCTTTAATCAAAATATACAGACAAGAAAGTTCAAGCATTTGCCTGAATTTTTCTTACTGATGGGGAATAAAATTAATATACAAATGTCCCAGAAACTAAGGGATTCTCATTTGGTTTTTAGTTGTTGTTTCCAGAGAATATTTTCCCAGTTGTTGTATAGTGAGAAACAGAAAGATCAAGTGAACAAACTTTCTCTGTAATTGGAAATTGACTTTTGGGATTTGTGTTCAAAATAGATATTATCTGATCCTAAAAATCTAAACTTCACTTATTAGTCAAAATAAATAAGAGCAGTATAGAACAAAAACATTTTTTTTTTAAATGTACCACACAAATACAATGCCTATATTGCCACCTTGACTGGTGATGACATGAGCATGTATGTGGTTTTCATGGCCAAAATACAGAAGTGGTTTGCTATTGTCTTCTTCCCAAAATGTTTTTTTACTTTCCTATCTAGCCTACAGCCACAGGATTTCCTAGTGATCTCCCAACAAAATATTAACCTGTTCTAGTTCTATTTAGCTCTTTTTGTAGATAACCCAAGATTGGCTGAGTGCTGCCGCCTAGCTGGACATAAGTAACATTCTGCTGTCACGATGTAATTTTATAACTTCACTTTGCTTCCTCCAAACACCAAGTATTCTCTCAGTTTTACTTATATACATACCTGATAAATTGGTTTTGTTTTGTTTTGCTTTGCTTACCTTATCTTTGACATTTTAGTGAATAAAGAAAATCTTTGGGCTATTTCATTTTAGATTCTCAGGTGAGTGGTAGTGTTCTGTGAAAAATAGAAGAAATACAGTTTCACTCTTGTATTCAAATTCTCTAAATGGTTTGAGACAATTAATTTCCAATTGTTTCCCAGTAGAGTAGATTTACTTGTATATTAATGAAGCACAGGTGTTAGGCCCCTGGTGTCTTTGTGCCTGGGAGGCATATTTAGGTTGTTTATCTAGCCAGCCGTAGGTACTGCAAGGTATTCAAGCTTGCTTTTAACAGTTTATACAGTGAGGGGTTTTATTTCAATTTAAAAAAAAATGCTAGCACCTGTTAAAATTTTAAAACTGTTCATGTAGAAAGAAGTAAAAGAGATTGCAATAGTAAATAGCACTAAAAGTTAACAGAAGTCATCTTCTATGATGCTTAACTGCCCAGCTTGATATCATGAAGAAAAGAAGCGTCATTTAAGCAAATGTATCATGTGAAGAACTAACAGTCAAAGCTATACTTCTCTGATCCATAATTTTGGAGTAAAGTGTCCTTTTAAATAGGTACTGTTTCATCTATGGGTGAAACCCAAATGTGCTTATATTAATATTCATTTTTCTTGTTTATTCACTGAGCTGCACTGCTAACGTTTTAGAGGAAATGGAATAGCCTCCACAGACATTATGAATTTCAGTTGCTGGCATAATTACAGTGATCTACATATTCATTAAATTCAGGGAAGAAATGTGTCCAAAAAGACAACCATGCGTTTAGAAATAGCGCACTGCTAAATATATACATTTAAAACTTCCTTTTCTTTTGTTTACCCCAAATTACTTCATGTTACATTGCTTCTCACTTAGCTAAGTCTTTAATAATAATTTTAAGTTCTGTTCTCCTGTTTGTTCCATGTAGTAAAGAATGGGAAGAATTATTTGTAAACAACAATTACTTGGCAACGATACGGCTGAAGGGGATTAATGGGCAGCTGAGAAGCAGCAGGTTCCGTAGTGTTTGCTGGAAGGTAAGAAGAAAATACTTATTTACAGCTTGTACTTGTAATAAATCACCACATTACCTGATGCACTTGAAGATTGCTAGTGTAAAGAATTGTAGCATTTTCCAAGAAATTTCAGTCAGGTATTCTTATGAGTTACCATGTACAAGACAGGAATTAATTTGAGATACTTGTAGCTGAAATAAAAATGGACAGTTTTGAGAGAAGATGACTTGTCAGATATTTTTGATGGAAAATTTGTTTTAACAAAGTATTTGAATGATCATGAAAATATACTTAAATGTAACTTATCTGTTAGAATAATTAAATATCCATCCTTGCTTCTGAAATATTGAGAGGAAAAAAAGAACAAATATTTTTCTTGGTCAACAAGAACTAGTAAAGTTTTAAGTCAAAGTAGTAGTGGCTGCAATATATAATTATATTCAAAGATCTATATTACAAAATATAGTAGTCCTGTTACACTACTATGTGCCGTTCACTTAGATATTCAAAGCAAATTTATATATATGTCAAGATGGATGCGGAAGTTAACAGGCTTTTTACAGAAGTCCAAGCACACACAGCAGATTTTGGAACTGTGTTTAAGCAAAAATGGCAATAACTATTCTAAAATGTAAAAAATTGCTTATCAGTCTAATTCAATTAATATAGATTTTATTTTTAATATAAACAATTGTATGTATGTTAAAAAGGGGAAAACATTTTGATAAATATGTTGGGTCAGGGCATAGATCAGCTAATTACTATAACAGACTGAAAAGAAATAGAAATGGAAAAATAGAGGAGGTTAATTTTTCCCCATTAAATAATGGAGGCCTTATGGAAATAGCAAGTTGTGTTAAGAAAATTATGAATCAGAAAAATGGTGTAAGATGTTGGATATGACATACTGAGAGGGGAGAATGGAAAAGAAACTAAGCATAAGAAATTAGAAGTATTGTATTGTATAGTAAACTGAATATAAAGTGCATAACTTATTAATTGGTCATGGATACTGGAAAATGACTGTAAATGCAGGCTATCAAACTTTTGATTACAAATTCAAGGATGGACTGAAGTTCTCAAGCCACTTGAGCACTAAACGACTTAATTATGTAGGGACTGGAAGTAGCTGATATAGCAAAAAGTGATTCTGGCATAACAAGGATACTGAGTGGAAGCTTGCCTTATCACCTATTAGGAAATACAACATTTCAACTATTTGTTCCAAAAATATTACTTAGATGCCAATAATATTGAAGGAAACCAGAAATGTGTAAAAAAGATAAATATACTTTAAAAAAAGGGAAATGGGGGGGTGGGCTTATTAAATATGTACTCTAAACAATTTAAAAGCTGGCTAAAAGTTTATGCTTGACTTGAGATATTTATAGCACTTTCTACAATATTTAAATTCCATATTTCGACCTCACAGGTAGATACAGAATCAGCAACTCCTATGAAACCATTATGAAACAAGCAATCATTTTGAGATATTAAAGCTGAAATAGAAAATCCACAGTTGTCTGTACAGACAGCCTCTACTTATGAACTTTCGAGTTATGAACTTTCGCCGATATGAACAAACCTGTTCAGAATTCCAACTCCAAAAAGAGGAGAAGGCAGGAGGCAGGGCAGCGTGTGAGCAGAGGAGCCCTGTCTTCTGCTGCCAATGTGAGGAGCGATAGCCCACAGACTGTGGAGAGCACAGTGGGATGAGCTGGTGGGGCATGGTGCATTCCGTCGTGGGCGAGGCATGAGGGGGGCAGTGGCTCCCAGGGCAAAGGTCTCAGTTATGCAGGAGGAGCTGTTCAGGGTGGTGGCAGAATGGGTGCTGCCTGATCCTAACCTGTCATGTGTTGGGAGGCTGTGATCTTCAGCCTTCTTCCTGTAAGGCCTCGCAAAGGGCCAGCAGTTTCCAATGCGAGCTGCAGAGCGCACACTGTGTCTCCAGAATCCCTTGTCCCTCTGCTTCCTCCAGTTCTGCCACCACCCTGATCAGCTCCTCCCACACAGCTAACACCATTGCCCTGGGAGCCACTGCCACCTCTCCTGCCTCGCCCAGTGACAGAGCATGCTGTGCTGCACTGGCTCATCCCACTACACTCTCCACAGTCTGTGGGCTATCCTTCCTCACATTGGCAACAGAAGACAGGGCTCCTCTGCCTGCACCATTGCCCTGCCTCCTTCTCTTTTTTTTACTTTTTACTTGGTTGGACTTATGAACAAAATGGACTTACAAACAGCCTCTTGGAACATAACCTGTACATAAGTAGAGGACTGTCTATATTACACATGAAAACATGCTTTGAATTCAAGCAGTGGAGATTACTAATAGTGAAGAATTCTTGGATCAATATCCAAAGGGCCACTAGTCACTATTCCTGTCTTACTGGATATAAAGACTTCTTTCTTAGGTCTATAGATTCTCCAGGAAAACAAAGCAGCCATGTTGGTCAGGAGAAGAGAGAAAGAAAATTCTGGTCCTAGATTATGTGGGCTAAGCAGAGAGTAGTACAGGGAAGAATTGTGAAGAAAGGCTTGTGTGCCAACCCATAATTATTATTTATGCTCAAACACAAGGAAGAAATGCTTGTGCCTAATTTAAGGGGGGGGGCATATTGTTTCCAGGCTAGCTACCAGATTCAGTGTGAGGAACAAATTTCATTCGCAATTTAGGGCCGCATTTTGAAAAACAGCGATTGGTGCCAGGATGAAAGCTTAGTTTAGTTTAGTTTAGTTTAGTTTAGTTTAGTTTAGTTTAGTTTAGTTTAGTTTAGTTTAGTTTAGTTTAGTTTAGTTATTTT